TTGAGAACCATAGCTACATACAATGTCTGCTGCCAGTTTTATAGGGCTGAACATTGAAAATGTCTAAGTGTACAATTATTGCGATTACCATTTCTCTATAGTAGTGGTTGAAGAGACATTGTAATGTTTTTAAACTATTTTATCTTTTCCTGTAATTTCTTGAAATTCTCTTTTGGTTGGTTAAGTAAAGACATGCCTTACAATGGCTGCCCATAAACAAATTGTTTTAATGCATTTGTTTTCTGGCCATTTGTTTTAGTGGCCAGTTACTGGGCCGATTCTCCTGCAAGACCCGAGTGTGTGCTTTGCCGGGGAGAGATGTAAAAATGTAGGTGAAAAAATGAAATAAAAATAAAAGAATAAAAATCACGACGTTTCGGAAGCAACACAAGCTTCCGTCTTCAGGTGAAACTGTCACAGCAAAATATCTGTATCACCTGAAGACGGAAGCTTGTGTTGCTTCCGAAACGTCGTGATTTTTATTTTATTTTAATTTTATTTTTTACCTACGTGACTTTACCGAAAAAACTAAGACTCACACACACCACCACCGCCCACACTACCTCGCTGCAGGCGATGATGCATCCTGGCTGCCCCGGTCACACAGCCTCTGACGTCAGAGTTCTTGTGAGATGTGTTTCTATCATGTTACGGGTCTCAGTCTGCCATTGTAGCTTGTATTGGATGAAGGTTCTACACACGCGTGTGTGTGCGCGTGTCTGTGCGTGCGTGTGTGTGTGCGCGTGTCTGTGCGCGCGTGTGTGTGTGTGCGTTCAACTCGGTGCGCTATGGACAGTGTTGAGTCTATGGTGCAGTGTTGAGTCTATGGGCAGTGTTGAGTCTATGTGCAGCGTTGAGTCTGGACAGTGTTGAGTCTATGGTGCAGTGTTGAGTCTATGGGCAGTGTTGAGTCTATGGGCAGTGTTGAGTCTATGGACAGTGTTGAGTCTATGGTGCAGTGTTGAGTCTATGGTGCAGTGTTGAGTCTATGTGCAGTGTTGAGTCTATGTGCAGCGTTGAGTCTATGGACAGTGTTGAGTCTATGGTGCAGTGTTGAGTCTATGGGCAGTGTTGAGTGTATGGTGCAGTGTTGAGTCTATGGTGCAGCGTTGAGTCTGGACAGTGTTGAGTCTATGGTGCAGTGTTGAGTCTATGGGCAGTGTTGAGTCTATGGACAGTGTTGAGTCTATGGTGCAGTGTTGAGTCTGTGCAGCGTTGAGTCTGGACAGTGTTGAGTCTATGGTGCAGTGTTGAGTCTATGGGCAGTGTTGAGTCTATGGACAGTGTTGAGTCTATGGTGCAGTGTTGAGTCTATGGGCAGTGTTGAGTCTATGGGCAGTGTTGAGTCTATGGTGCAGTGTTGAGTCTATGGGCAGTGTTGAGTCTATGGGCAGTGTTGAGTCTATGGTGCAGTGTTGAGTCTATGGGCAGTGTTGAGTCTATGGTGCATGTGAGTTTATGTGCAGTTGAGTCTATGGTGCAGTGTTGAGTCTATGGTGCAGTGTTGAGTATATGGACAGTGTTGAGTCTATGGTGCAGTGTTGAGTCTATGGACAGTGTTGAGTCTATGGGCAGTGTTGAGTCTATGGTGCAGTGTTGAGTCTATGTGCAGTGTTGAGTCTATGTGCAGCGTTGAGTCTATGGGCAGTGTTGAGTCTATGGGCAGTGTTGAGTGTATGGTGCAGTGTTGAGTCTATGTGCAGCGTTGAGTCTGGACAGTGTTGAGTCTATGGTGCAGTGTTGAGTCTATGGGCAGTGTTGAGTCTATGGACAGTGTTGAGTCTATGGTGCAGTGTTGAGTCTATGTGCAGCGTTGAGTCTGGACAGTGTTGAGTCTATGGTGCAGTGTTGAGTCTATGGGCAGTGTTGAGTCTATGGACAGTGTTGAGTCTATGGTGCAGTGTTGAGTCTATGGGCAGTGTTGAGTCTATGTGCAGCGTTGAGTCTGGACAGTGTTGAGTCTATGGTGCAGTGTTGAGTCTATGGTGCAGTGTTGAGTCTATGGTGCAGTGTTGAGTCTATGGTGCAGTGTTGAGTCTATGGTGCAGTGTTGAGTCTATGGTGCAGTGTTGAGTCTATGGACAGTGTTGAGTCTATGGGCAGTGTTGAGTCTATGGTGCAGTGTTGAGTCTATGGTGCAGTGCTGAGTCTATGGGCAGTGTTGAGTCTATGGGCAGTGTTGAGTCTATGGTGCAGTGCTGAGTCTATGGGCAGTGTTGAGTCTATGGTGCAGTGTGAGTCTATGGGCAGTGTTGAGTCTATGGTGCAGTGTTGAGTCTATGGTGCAGTGTTGAGTCTATGGGCAGTGTTGAGTCTATGGTGCAGTGTTGAGTCTATGGGGCAGTGTTGAGTCTATGGTGCAGTGCTGAGTCTATGGTGCAGTGTTGAGTCTATGGTGCAGTGTTGAGTCTATGGCAGTGCTGAGTCTATGGTGCAGTGTTGAGTCTATGGGCAGTGTTGAGTCTATGGGGCAGTGTTGAGTCTATGGTGCAGTGTTGAGTCTATGGGGCAGTGCTGAGTCTATGGTGCAGTGTTGAGTCTATGGGGCAGTGTTGAGTCTATGGTGCAGTGTTGAGTCTATGGTGCAGTGTTGAGTCTATGGGCAGTGTTGAGTCTATGGTGCAGTGTTGAGTCTATGGGCAGTGTTGAGTCTATGGGCAGCTTGAGTCTATGGTGCAGTGTTGAGTCTATGGTGCAGTGTTGAGTCTATGGGCAGTGTTGAGTCTATGGTGCAGTGTTGAGTCTATGGTGCAGTGTTGAGTCTATGGTGCAGTGTTGAGTCTATGGTGCAGTGTTGAGTCTATGGTGCAGTGTTGAGTCTATGGTGCAGTGTTGAGTCTATGGTGCAGTGTTGAGTCTATGGTGACAGTGTTGAGTCTATGGGCAGTGTTGAGTCTATGGTGCAGTGTTGAGTCTATGGGCAGTGTTGAGTCTATGGGCAGTGTTGAGTCTATGGTGCAGTGTTGAGTCTATGGGCAGTGTTGAGTCTATGGTGCAGTGTTGAGTCTATGGTGCAGTGTTGAGTCTATGGGCAGTGTTGAGTCTATGGTGCAGTGTTGAGTCTATGGGCAGTGTTGAGTCTATGGGCAGTGTTGAGTCTATGGTGCAGTGTTGAGTCTATGGTGCAGTGCTTGAGTCTATGGGCAGTGTTGAGTCTATGGTGCAGTGTTGAGTCTATGGTGCAGTGTTGAGTCTATGGTGCAGTGTTGAGTCTATGGTGCAGTGTTGAGTCTATGGTGCAGTGTTGAGTCTATGGTGCAGTGTTGAGTCTATGGTGCAGTGTTGAGTCTATGGTGCAGTGTTGAGTCTATGGTGCAGTGTTGAGTCTATGGTGCAGTGTTGAGTCTATGGTGCAGTGTTGAGTCTATGGTGCAGTGTTGAGTCTATGGTGCAGTGTGAGTCTATGGTGCAGTGTTGAGTCTATGGTGCAGTGTTGAGTCTATGGTGCAGTGTGAGTCTATGGCTGCAGTGTTGAGTCTATGGGCAGTGTTGAGTCTATGGTGCATGTTGAGTCTATGGTGCAGTGTTGAGTCTAGTGGTGCAGTGTTGAGTCTATGGTGCAGTGTTGAGTCTATGGGCAGTGTTGAGTCTATGGTGCAGTGTTGAGTCTATGGGTCTCAGTGTTGAGTCTATGGTGCAGTGTTGAGTCTATGGTGCAGTGTTGAGTCTATGGTGCAGTGTTGAGTCTATGGTGCAGTGCTGAGTCTATGGTGCAGTGTTGAGTCTATGGTGCAGTGTTGAGTCTATGGTGCAGTGTGAGTCTATGGTGCAGTGTTGAGTCTATGGTGCAGTGTTGAGTCTATGGTGCAGTGTTGAGTCTATGGTGCAGTGTTGAGTCTATTGGGCAGTGTTGAGTCTATGGTGCAGTGTTGAGTCTATGGTGCAGTGTTGAGTCTATGGTGCAGTGTTGAGTCTATGGTGCAGTGTTGAGTCTATGGGCTGTTGAGTCTTGGGCAGTGTTGAGTCTATGGTGCAGTGTTGAGTCTATGGTGCAGTGTTGAGTCTAGGTGCAGTGTTGAGTCTATGGTGCATTGTTGAGTCTATGGTGCAGTGTTGAGTCTATGGCATGTAGTCTATGGTGCAGTGTTGAGTCTATGTGCAGTGTTGAGTCTATGGGTGCTATGGTAGTGTTGAGTCTATGGTGCCAGTGTTGGTCTATGGGCAGTGTTGAGTCTATGTGCACTATGGTGCAGTGTTGAGTCTATGGTGCAGTGTTGAGTCTATCGTGCAGTGTTGAGTCTATGGTGCCGTGTTGAGTCTATGGTGCAGTGTTGAGTCTATGGTGCAGTGTTGAGTCTATGGTGTAGTTTTGAGTCTGTGGTGCAGTGCTGAGTCTATCATGCAGTGTTGAGTCTATCGTGCAGTGTTGAGTCTATGGTGCAGTGTTGAGTCTATGGTGCAGTGTTGAGTCTATGGTGCAGTGTTGAATCTATGGGCAGTGTTGAGTCTATGGATAGTGTTGAGTCTATGGATAGTGTTGAGTCTATGGGCAGTGTTGAGTCTATGGCAGTGTTGAGTCTATGGTGCAGTGTTGAGTCTATGGGCAGTGTTGAGTCTATGGATAGTGTTGAGTCTATGGATAGTGTTGAGTCTATGGTGCAGTGCTGAGTCTATGGTGCAGTGTTGAGTCCATGGTGCAGTGTTGAGTCTATGGACAGTGTTGAGTCTATGGTGCAGTGTTGAATCTATGGACAGTGTTGAGTCTATGGACAGTGTTGAGTCTATGGACTGTGTTGAGTCTATGGTGCAGTGCCGATCCGATTGTGTCGAGAAGATTCCAGAAGAATGGATCATTCGTGTCATTTTTTATCCCCATCGACTGTGAACTCGCGCTTGAATTCGGTCGTTTTCCCTTCGTCTCGTTGCGTCTCTCTGCCGCTGCTGATCGAATGGCCGGCGATACCCCCTGCCTGCTGATCTCCACATCGTCGTCGTCGTCGTCGTCGTCAGCCACGCTCGATCCTCCGTGGAAATGAAGACCTCCCCCCAATCCACGGCCATCTCTCACCGGTCGCGTGACCACGCACCGACGACGTCACGTCTCCCACCTGCGCTTGAACACAACCGTGCGCGCTCCCGCACCCCCCTTCGCAGGTCGCGTCGGGGCTACGCCAGCGACAATGACGACGACGATGACCACCGTCATCGCGACAATGCTGCTGGTGGCGACGACGGGGGCGGCAGCGGCGTCGACGGTGTCGGCAGACGACGCGAAGAAGCCTTCTCCGTCCCATCCGTACGGGCTGTGTCCCCCGGGCCACCGCGTCTCGCTGCCGTTCTCCACGAAGGCCGTGGAGGGGCAGCAGAAGCAGCTGGAGGACGCGTCCCACGTGGAGGCACGTTGCACTCGGTGCCCGCCACGCCACTACACCCAGTTCTGGAACTCCCTGGACCGGTGTCTCTACTGCGGCCCGGGGTGCAAGGAGGGTCATCGGCTCGCGAAGGAATGCAGCCCCACGCACGACCGTGTGTGCGAGTGCGAGCCGGGCACCTTCCTGCTACAGGAGTTCTGCGTGCCGCACAGAAGCTGCGCCGCTGGGCACGGCGTCGTCACCAAAGGCACGCACGGGGGGCGGGGGGCGGATACACCACGTGTGTCGTCGCGGTTCATTCGGCGATCGATTCGCTCGTACCAAGACGCTACTCAATTATTGCGTCTTATTTAATTAGTTGAATCGATGACAGTTCCTTCCGCGTGACCTCCCCCATCAACAAAAATGCACGAACGCCCACACTCCCCGTTCATGCATTCTTCATTCATTGTAGTACTTGGTTCTGCATGTCGCTCGGCTCGTACATGCACAGGTAGGATGTCCTCGCTAAAGGCACGAGTGCACATGACCTATTCATTCGTGGAGAGGTGAAATCATTTGCGCATTATTTCATTTGTTCTGTTGGCTCCAATCACCAGTTGCCCATCGGGATAGAGCTTCTGCGTGCCCAGCACGAGCTTTCTACCCCACTCGGACATTAATTGGTTCCTACATGCATCCGTCTGATGATCATTCATTTGTTCATAATAAAGGTTCTTGGGTTAGGTCGCGTTATTTATAAATGCGTCATTTGTAAATGTATTTAGTCGTCAAGTCGGGGAATCTTATCACCACTTTCCCGTCGCCTAGCTATCTCCCAGCCATCTCCCAGCGCCAATCAATGCCTATTCTCTTCTCATCTTTCTCTCTCTCTCTACGCATCTCTACATTCTCTCTCTCTGTCTGCCCGTGCACCCCCATCTCACGCTCTGCTCGGCACCGCAGGATCCCCGCACGAAGACACGCACTGCGCCCCGTGCCCTTGGGGATTCTTCTCCCCGGAGGTATCGGCCGATGCCGCGTGCCGCCCGCACACAAACTGCTTCACTCCGGGCTCCGTGCAGCTGCTGCCCGGGGCCTCCACGCACGACGCGCTCTGCTGCAACCGTAGATCGATGGCATAGTCGGAGAAGCAGCTGCTGGCTTCGGAGGGCAGTAGATGCCGTACTGGGTGATTGCATTTCATTTACACCTGATGACGATTGCTTGTGTTGCAATCGAAACGTCGTATGCCGGTAGCAAGACGCGTCGCCTCTCTTCCCTCCGCAGGGGAAGATGGTGCCGAGCCTCCGTCGTCTAACCCGCCGCCCCAGCCGGAGTACGCGTGCGTGGACGCGACCCTGCGATTCGTGGACAGCGTCGGTCACCTGATTCTGCCGTGCCTGGCCCACCACGACACGAAGGAGGCCGCCTACATCTGGAAGCTTCTGGCCGGTGCCGCGAGGCGGCGGCGGCGGGAGCAGGAAGGGCGCAGGCAGCGTGGGGGGAACGAGACGAAGCGGGCGAGGAGGTTGGAGAGGCAGCTCGAGATGCTGCTGGGGATTTGCGCAAAGGGAGCGTCGCCAGGAGGGTCGGTGAGAATGCACGCGGCGGCGACGGCGGCGGCGGACTGAATGTGGTCGAACAAGATGGGGGGAAGGGCCTTTGAAATGGTCATGTTAGTCAAAAAACCAAGTTTGAGGACGTCCATTTTCTTGGTTCTTTCGGTAAAGTCACGTAGAATGGAAATAACAAAATAATAAAAATATAATAAAATATATTATTATAAATAATTAAAATAAGAAAATTTTAGAAATTAAGCATAATGAAATATATTATTATATTACTTTTTAATGCTTTATTTTATTATTTCCCTTCTAGGTGACTTTCGTGACTGCAGGGATTCATCTTCTTGGTTCTTTCGGTAAAGTCACGTAGAATGGAAATAATAAAATAATAAAAATAAAACATTAAATATATTATTATAAATAATACAAATTATATAATTATACAATTTAAGCATAATAAAATATTTTATTATATTATTTTATAATGTTTATTTTATTTTATTATTTCCATTCTACAAGACTTTACCGAAAGAACCAAGAAGATGAATCCCTGCAGTCACGAAAGCTTTAAATCGAAATTTGAGGAGGTCTTCTACTGAAATTGGCTCAGGGCTCAGAAACATTGATATAGCAACCAAAGAGATGTTGCATTTAAATCCATGTGTCAGCTGCCCAAGCGTGGATACATTGGCTTCTTAAGTCCAGTGAGTTGACTGCAAGAAATTTGCCATCTTGAAGTTGATTAGTCAAATAATTCTGGGTCTCAGAATTAAAAATATTGGTTTGAATTTCGATTTAAAGCTTTCGTGACTGCAGGGATTCATCTTCATGGTTCTTTCGGTAGAAGGGAAATATTAAAATAATAAAAACATTCCTTCCCTTTATTAATGTTACCCCTATCCCCTCCCTTTCATGCTGCTAATCCGGCATAATGCACGGGCATAATATGACTTTAAAAACCCCTGCCCACCTCCTACGCATTTCACAAGTAGTGACTAATCCCATATCTGCATTTCCCATAAATATGCAAAATTCCTCTTGATATGCAAATTATTTTGTCAAGGCGCTCTTCCTCCTCCAACCCAGCTTAAATATACGCTCCAAGCCTGGGGTGTTTCATTCAGACGCTGTCTTCCCGACAGACCTGTTCTTCACCTGAGAACGGCTTCTTGCGTTGTGGCCGAAACGTCGTGAGAATTGTATTGTTTTATTTTTATTATTTTATTATTTCCCTTCTACGTGACTTTACCGAATGAACCGAGAAGATATATATTGGTTTGTTCGCCATGCGTGTAGGGAAGCTGTGGCTCCTGGTGGTAGTTCCACGTAGCATGCTTCTGCGGGTTGTTCTCTAACACGGGGTGATGCTCTGTTCTCCGACAAGATTGTAATGGACACTTAATCCCGTGACATGACGTCATTAGGGCAAACTGCACCACATTTTTTGTGTAAAGAGATGACAGTTTTATAAGCTGTAGCCGGAGTTTTTCAAGCCCGTCGATTGAAGCCCTCTAAATGATCCAACATAGAACACTCATCGCATTAATTACATCAACTGGAGAGGGCTAAATAATTTCACAATGAGTGGTGATGATGAGGTGTGATTAATAAAACTACATTCTGTAAATTGAGACATGGCTTGTAACAGGACACAAATCAAGGTTACCGCATGCCACAAACTGCTTTGGAGACAACATAAAAGTGAATACATTTCGATTTAAAGCTTTCGTGACTGCAGGGATTCATCTTCTTGGTTCTTTCGGGAAAGTCACGTAGAAGGGAAATAATAAAATTAAAAAAGAAAACATTTTAACGTTTTATTTTTAATATTTTATTATTATTCATTTTTTAATAAAATAAAATAAACATAATGTTTTTTTTTTTATTATTTCCTTTCTACGTGACTTTACCGAAAGAATCAAGAACAGTGAATAACTTTAATAAGCCGACAATATTAACAGACACTCCCTCACGACTGAAACCTTAATCACTGAACATTTCAGACAATTTGCCCCGCTGTGAGGTGCAGAAGAGTACGGTGTCGTTACGAACAGCGAACACTGTGACAGATAAAATGTTACAAAAGTCTCCGATTTGGATGTTGATTCACGTGAAGAGAGAATATTTCAGCAGTGTTCACAGTCTCTCCTACGACCAGGCCTCTCGATGTTTAACAGAATGTTACCGTGCTGGCTTGGAGTTAGGAATTATTAGCAGAAGGCACCGCAACTCGAACGTGATACACTCATCATAAGAATCCATGTTGTTGTATAGGCCAATCGGTTTAAAGGACGATGCATACATTACCGAAGTATATTGTTTCAACGGTTTACCGCAAGTCTGTGTGGTTAGTGCAGACTGGATGCCTTGTGATAGGGGTCCATTTGGTGTTTGAAACCTCTTAATACCTCAGAAAGGGTAAATCCTATTTTTTTATTTTATTCCATCACTATGTTTATTGCACCCATATATCCTTACAATCAATCCGATGAGAGCTTTATACAAAAATATCTTTGGATAAAATAAGGACCAATAAGGATAAATGGGGACGTGGTTTGTCAAAATGGTTCCCGGAAAAGTGAAAACAAAAATAACAAAAATATTTCGTTGTTAAGATTTTGAGAGAAACATTTCTGGAGCAGAGCGTAATGCACCTCCAATGTCAACTACTGGGGGACTGGTTAATGACTTCTTTTGGAATGTAAAATGTGGTTTTGTAATTACCACGTTTGGTTACGTGTTGACTGTTGAAACCTTTAAATAAAAGTTGCATAAAATGGATACGCGTTCAAAATTCCTCAGCACTTTAGAGCGAATCGAAATCCGCAAATACGCCATCAGCTATGCTCTACCCACTGCTGGCTCAAAGCCTCCCTTCAATCATAGCTGAGATGCCAAAAAGCCACCGAGGTTTTTCTGCCCATGAGCTCCGATCTTATCGCTCCATCTGCGTCCATCGGTTATCATCCCTCATCGCCGTGCTGCCCTGACCAAACTCAACGTAACGCCTGCACAGTCATTACATTGTCCTGCAAAGGATTGCGGTCGTCCTGAAGCCACCCCCACCCCCTCCAACTCTACCAGAGAGAGAGAGAGAGGGAGGAGAGGCAGTGTCCGTAGAGTCGTGGCGGGCCCCCCGACAGTTCACGATGAGAAGTCAGGGGCCCTGATGCTGATGGGAAGATTGCCAGGTGGGGTAGACACGTGACTGCGCCCCACGTGACCTCTTGACCCGCACCCTTCCCGTGCCCTTAGAAGAACAGCCCCCACACCCCCCCCCCCCAGTAGCCCCTGGGCGACAGGTACTGTGAGGCCCCCAGTAATTTTTTTGTCAAGGCGCTCTTCCCCCTCCAACCCAGCTTAAATATACACTCCAAGCCTGGTGGTGTTTCATTCAGACGCTGTCTTTCCGACAGACCTGTTCTTCACCTGAGGACGGCTGCTTGCGTTGTGGCCGAAACGTCGTGAGAATTATTTTATTATGTTTTATTTTTATTCTTTTATTATTTCCCTTCTACGTGACGACTTTACTGAAAGAACCAAGAAGATGAATCCCTGCAGTCACGAAAGCTTTAAATCGAAATAAAACATTTAAGGAACACAACTTAAACGGCAAACTAGAGGACAGTGCAGCGGTGCACTCACAACTCCAAACCATCGCGACGGCGCTGAAGCAAACGAGAGAAACACAACGGGGGGCAGCATCGTGCACTCAACAGAAGTCAAAGACCCGTCACGGTGCCCACGCCACTGCGTGGCAGGCCTGGGAGCTCAGAGCGAGGGCTTTAGAGCATTCCGACCAACTCCTAGCCACCTACCACCCGAGGTCGCAAACGGGTTTTGATTCCTTACCCGTACCCGTACCCGGCCGCACCAGGGTCGCAAACGGGTACCCGTACCCTCACCCGGCCGGGTACGGGTAGCCGGGTATCGGGTAGGGTATCGGGTACCCGGTTGCGACCTCTGGTCACCCCGTACCGCGTTCAACAACGACCAAACCGCAGGTCACGATCACGCGAAGTCACTCAAAGCATCCACTTGTGGAACGCGAGAGAGACGGGCACGTGGGAGGATGGACACACGGACGGGCGGATGGATCCGAGTTTTAAGTTAAACAACAATTTGATTTTCACATCCCTTCACGTGACGACAAGCGACTTTACACATTTGAAAGGGCAACCTGCCACCTCCCCCAGCGGCAGCTGTCACCACGTGACACCTGGGCTGCAGTCGGGCCAGTATGGAGGAGACTGCCGCTGGCAGCTGCAATCCCCATTGATACAGGGACAGCGCCGGTGTTTACAATGTCGCTGATTTGGGCCATGCCGTGCCCGCAACCACAATGACCGCAGTAATGGCCGGGGTGGCCTGCGAGATCCGAACCGAATCTCGAACGTGCCACCGCTGAACCATGTCACCCCCCCCCCCCCCAAGTTTGATTTTAGTCTGAGTCAACCTAGGGGATCGTGGCCTCTCACCCGGCGTCTCTCGCGCAAGATCGCTTTGCTCCTCTTAGCAGCAGCCGTCCTCGGGGAGGCCGGTGAGCACCAGCGGCAGTAGTGCGACGAGGAGGTGGAGGTGGAGGAGGTGGTGGAGGAGGAGGTGGTGGAGACGGTGGTGGAGGTGGAGGAGGTGGTGGAGGAGGTGGTGGAGGTGGTGGAGGTGGTGGAGGTAGAGGAGGTGGTGGAGGAGGTGGTGGAGGTGGTGGAGGTGGTGGAGGAACCCGCCAGAGTCCTGCAGAGCCCAGCTGGAATCTGAGACCCCTTGAGAACCATGCAGGACGACCACGCTGGCAGCATCGGCTGCTGCTGCTGCTGCTGTTGCTGCTGCTGCTGCTGTTGCTGCTGCTGTTGCTGCTGCTGCTGCTGGTGGTGTTGTTGCTGCTGCTGCTGCTGGTGCTGCTGCAGCTGCTGCTGCTGCTGTTGCTGCTGCTGCTGCAGCTGCTGCTCCTGCTGCTGCTCCTGCTGCTGCTGCTGTTGCTGCTGCTGTTGGTGGAGCTGCTGGTGGTGGAGCTGCTGTTGCTGCTGGTGGTGCTGCTGCTGCTGGTGGAGCTGCTGGTGGTGTTGGTGGAGTTGCTGTTGGTGGAGTTGCTGCTGGTGGTGGAGCTGCTGGTGGTGGAGCTGCTGGTGGTGCTGGTGGTGGAGCTGCTGGTGGTGGAGCTGCTGGTGGTGGAGCTGCTGTTGTTGTTGCTGCTGGTGCTGGTGGTGGTGGAGCTGCTGCTGCTGGTGGTGGTGCTGCTGGTGGTGGAGCTGCTGGTGGTGGAGCTGCTGGTGGTGGAGCTGCTGGTGGTGGAGCTGCTTATGGTGGAGCTG